GAGGCATTCTTGGTCCTTTACCAGCCGTAGCCACCATGCTTGTAGGCCATATTCTAAGTGGGGCCGAACAAATGTGCCGTAAACTCTCCCAAAAAGGTCTTGGTCAAAATTTACGAAAGCCCTTTTGATTGCATGCAGCAATCCCATGGCGTTTTTTGCAGCCTTGTGACACTGCAGTGTTGGTTTCAGGTTGTTCTGTATCCAAACCCCGAGATCCTTCCGTGAAGATTCTGCGGGGAGCCTTATATCTTTCAGGTGCTAAGTCCTCAGACTCTCATTTGAATGAGAGTTGGTTGGACGCAGATGAAGGACGGCACACTTCTCCACATTGAAATCTAGAAGCCATTTCTTCGACCACGCTTGCAGTCGGTGCAGATTATCTTGAAGGGATCTATGATCATTCGGACCCTTAATGACTTGCCAGAGCTTACGTCGTCTGCAAACATTATTTTGCCGCAGTCGAGTTCCTGAAGGCTGTCGTTAACGTAAAGGATGAAGAGCAATGGTCCCAGAACTGAGCCTTGTGACACACCACTGGTCACTTTCACCCATTCTGACATATCATCCCCGATACAGACACGTTGTTTTCGACCAACCAGAAACGCCCTAATCCAGTTCAGAAGATCTCCCCGGATGCCGATGGCGCTCAATTTGTGAAGAAGACGTTGGTGCGGGACAGTGTCAAAAGCTTTGCGGAAATCGATATACATCACATCGACCTCAAAACCCTCTTCTAGAGCCCTGGTCCAGATCTCCAGACAGGTTAGCAGATTTGAGAGGCAGGAACGTCCTCTCCTGAAGCCATGTTGAAAATCCTGCAAGATGTTATTTTCTTCACAAAATTGCTGTATAGCGCTCTTTACTATAGCTTCCATCGTTTTGCACGGGAGGCAAGTTAAGCTAATAGGTCGAAAGCTGCTTGCTGTCATCTTACTACCTCCCTTATGCAATTGAACGAGGTTAGCTGTCTTCCACTGTAAGGACAGCCTTCCTGTTCTCATTGACAGCTCAAAGAGAGTCGAAAGAGGCTTTGACGGCTCCCTTGATAGCTCCTTAAGTATCAGCCCGGGAATTCCGTCGGGTCCAGGAGACTTATCAGGTTTTATTTGACTGAGGACTCGTCTGACTTCTTCCACGGAAAAGGCGACGGTTTTAATGACGGCAATATCTTGGCGCATTTGAAGCTCCCGGCTGTCTCGGTCCATTTCAAACTGCTGATTGTCTTCTAGGGACTCCTCCGTAGAAACCGATTGAAAAAACTGAGACAGTAATCGCACTTTCTGTGGCCCTTTAACTACTAAGTTTCAGAGGCTATCCTTTAGACACGCAATTTCGTCTCTATGTTTCCTCCTACTGCGGAAGTGCCCGTAAAACTTCTTGGGACATGTAATAGATTCTGCTATCAGTCGACGCTCGAAAGAAGTTCTAGCAACCCGTATTTATTTGCGGCATTTATTGCGCTGGTCCTTATATTCGGCGAGTGACCTTGAATCTCGAAGATGCAAATGCTTTTTCCAGAGTCTCTGTTTCTTCTTCATGGTCTTCTTTGTCGTCGGATTGACCCACGGTGGTCGCATACATGGTCTTGTCATTTTTATTGGACAATGGGAATCAATCAGACGCTCTATAATCCCGCGAAAGTACTGCCAAAATTCGTCTGAATCTTCTGTGTTGACCAACCAGGTTTCCTCCAAAAGAGTGCGTCACATTGCGTTAAAGTCACCTTTCAAATATTTCTGCGCGTCTTGATTTTTGGTTGTTGGTTGGATAGGAGAGAGCACACGCAGGTAAAAGCAATATGATCGCTTAAACCGAGTGGAGGTTCTGGATTCACTTCCTTTATGAGTCCTTCTTCTTTGCTGAAAACGAGATCTAAACATTTAGATCGTTGTCCTTCTCTCATTCTTGTTCCGAATTTTATGTGCTGAATGAAGTATTCATTCAGGGAGAGTTGTAGTAGCTTGTGGTCAAATGACGTGGACGGGGCGTTTGTTAGGGGAATGTTCCAGTCTATTCCTGGGGCGTTGAAGTCACCCAAAAGTAGTAAGTTCTCCTGCTTACATGTCAACTCCAGTTTACTAAGTAAATCCATATTGGCGATTTCATTCGAGCTGGGAGGCCGATAGACAACTATAGCACACAGATGCAAGGGGCTAGCAGGTATTGTGGAATATTCTGATTTAGGACCTGTATTCAAGTGTCGCCGTCGTCCGCTCTCTTAAGGTCGCCTTTGCCCAGTGAAGGCTCGCTATAATTTTCGTTAGTCATTATAACAATCCAGCGAGGCAATAATACAATGAAGTTTTAGAATACAAAAGCTCAGTAGGATAGACAAGAAATATTTATGAGGAGGATGTATTCAAACCGTCCACAAGGATTCAGAAGCTTCAGGGTGGAGGATCGAGGAAGGTGAAGTTGGAGGCTTCTACCGGGGACACAATAGGTTTACGTCATATTGGCACCTAATACAAGACACAACGCGTCCACGCCAGTTTGTCCCTTTTGTGTTTGACCCCTTGCCCTAATCGACTTAAATAAGTTGGTGACGGTTCAGTCCAGTCGCTATAAAAGTATTGCCAACAGTGGCGACGTTATACAATTCGCAGTCGACGCATCAGTGTCAAATCAAGATTCAAATGGATTTTTTCCTGTTCGTGCAATTTTTCAGGCATGTGTGGAGGAGACTGGAAATGTAACTCAAAAGTTCTTCATCACGCCAGTCATTATGCTGCAATCTGTGCTTATTTTGACGATCGAAGAGACGACAATGTCAGTAAACTCCCCGGATAGGGTTCTGATTCCCATATCTGGACCGTAAATCGATGAGCTCCGCAGTAGGTAGTATCGGAAGATGTGCAAAGATTTTCAGAAAAAGCAGTTCCTAGCTGATGTTTTACTTTTCATCGAGTCTGCTACTGCCTCAAGGATCTTGTTCAGTAGATAGTCTGATACGTTTGCAGTTACAGTAGATCGCGGAGAATCATAAATTCGGAGGCAATTGATTTGGATTTACGGAGATGTCCAGATTTCGGGCAAAATCCTCCTCTTAATAAAGTTTTTTTACTTGAGGTTTTTGTTTACAAGACGTCTTAGATGTCGCTGATCACTGAGATTGAGGAGTAATGGACCTGACTCCTTATAGTAGTGTGAAACATGTCCGAGATCTGAAAAAGTTTAGTCCCATTGGCACTTCTTTCAGATACATGCAGTGGCCATGTTTTCGCACTCAAATTCCCCGAATTTCGAATCCCAAAGAGCGCCAACAGGCGTCGAATGTTTAGAAAATCAGATTGTTACTCCGATGCTCTACATCCTGCGGGATAGTCCATCAATTAGGAATCACTCTTAACTGGCTGTTTTAGACTACAAATATTAACAGCGCGGACATCCATGTCAGTAGCGACAAGAGAGAGCGGAGTGGGGGATTGAAACAAGGCGCCATATGGCAACAAAAAGGGCCATGATAGATACCTTAAGAGTGGAGGAGGATCATCGGGAAAGACTTTGGAATATAGGGTGGAGAAATAATTAGTTCAGAAGGGTGCTAATTATACGAGATTCAGTTTTATCAATAGCGAAGATCGACAAATGATTTGCGTGGCCGTCACCATCGAATAGGCTGAAATATGAGCATATGAAAGGACACACATCCCACGTAAATTTAAATAATTTGGGCAAAACAGTCAAACAAAACTGCGGCTCCGTTTCTGGAAATTTCACAGCTTGTTAAAGTAACCGAGGAGCTTAAAGCTTTGGTGTCTGAAGCATGGCTGAATGTCGTTTTCCTTACCAAGTCATAGCTTAAGTCTGAAATAATGGAAGGGAAACTTACTAGCGATTAATAACCACTTTCATTGGGCAGTGTATCCGTCTTTGCCAAAGCACGAATTGTAGAAAATGACCTCCAAACTGATCCACAAAAAATAAAAATAAAACAGGTAGTTCACGAAATCAGCAATCATTTAAGCACCATGTGCATATCGCCCATTCCCGACTGGTTATGCTGACCAACCTCCGTTTGAACAAGTTATAGAGATATTATGATACTAAAATGTGCTCTTTTTGACGAACTTAACGTATGCATGACTGACTTGTTACGTCTGTCTTGGTACAGTCTGCCTTCATTCACCAACTACTACCTATTCGTCATTTTACCGGGCCCTATTTAATGCAAGTTATTACATTTCAACGATAGACGAAAGGAGCACAAAGGACGAGGAGCCCTGGTTCTTAGATGGGAGATGTTGCTGCCGCCCTCTGATATTACTCTTCGTACAAAAACTAACCAGAGGAGATAGATGGGCATCAGATTTATGGAGAGGAAATTTCGATAAGTGCGGGAAAGACGCTATCATTAACGTAGTGCAATGGACATCTCCCAATAAATACAAATGCTGACTGTAAAATGAGTAAAGGAATAATGGAGGGTATTGTGCAAAGCTAGCGGTAAGGTAACACTTATCAAACATGCCAAACTATGTAGCTGACAGCATATCTTGGAGAAGGAGAGGGATAAAACAGCCCAACCCTCCGATACAGAATGAATGCTATCGAGTAATAAGCGAAATGCAATTAGAGACGCGTATATTGCGAAACGAGTATATAGGCATTTAAGCTCGTCGAAACAAAACCAAGCCTGTTTGTCAATTAGATAAACGGTCAAATGAAGAACAAACAACCAATCACAAGAACATAAAAAAACCAAAAAAATTTCTGTGTGAGCAAATGAGCACTTCTCAAAATGGACATTTATTGGTGGAAAGAGCTGCTTACGCATATAGCCCCGGTACGCCTATGCGCGCGGATCAAATCCTGACGTACGATGCTGATTGATAAATCTCTTATCCAATTGGCCGCACCTGAACGAAATTCGGGAGCAGGCACTCAGACTGGCATCCACCTGGTAACTGCACAAAATGCATTTGCTTGTAGTGCTGCCTGTACGCTCTCTATCACCCAGTAAAGGCTTGACCATCTAATGAAATGATGGAATCAGATGTATGGAATCAATCCATAGCCAGACAGAGGCAACGGAGGAGGCTAAGAGCCTCATCCGACACCAAGTGTTGTCCCTCCTAATGGCCCACAGGCCGCGGGAAGTGCTTTCCAAGGTCGAACGTGATGCGCTTAGAGAACTCAAGGCCGACAAAGACCTGGTCATCGTGCCAGCGGACAAAGGACGCGCCACAGTTGTACTGGACAGGACAGACTACCTTCAAAAAGCCAAAGGTTTGCTGGAGGATCGACACTTCCATGTCCCATGTGCAACGAACCCTGTAAAAGCGCTGACACGCGAAACTAATGCTACGTTGTTGGCCTTGGAGAACTCAGGTGCAATAACACCGACCGACAGACGCATGGCGAGACCCCAAGATACGGCTTTGGCCCGATTCTATGGCCTCCCTAAGGTGCACAAAGACGGCGCTCCTCTCCGACCCATCGTGTCGCTCAAAGGGACTCCAACGTACGGACTGGCGAAGTGGCTGTTTTGGCGTCTCAAGTTCCTGACCGCTGAGTCAGACATCACGGCCTCTTCGTCAGCACAATTCCTGGAGAAACTCCAAGGGGTAAGCCTCCATTTAAATGAGGTCATGGTATCTTTTGATGTTACATCCCTTTTTACTTCTATTCCCCAGGACCTGGCGATCGAGACAATTGAACTGCTACTACAAAGCAAATACGATGAAACGGAGAATCGTCTTGGACGCGCCCCAGTCCTTCAGCTCCTGAAGTTCTGTCTCAGGACGTACTTCACGTTCGACGGGACAATCTACGAACAAGTGAAGGGCACACCAATGGGTTCGCCGATTTCGGGGTTCATCGCCGAGGCGGTCCTGCTACGGTTAGAGTTGCTGGTCTTCCAACACCACAAACCGAAGTTCTGAGCCTGGTATGTGGATGATACCTTCGTCGTCATCGAACGGGATCAGGTGTTGACACTCCAAGAACACCTCAACGCTGTCTTCCCCGACATTCCATTTACGATGAAGGAGGAAGAGAACAACCAGCTGGCCTTCCTGGATGTCCTCGTATGCCGCAAGGATTGTGGTGGACTAAAGACCAAAGTGTTCAGGAAAGCGACAAATGCGATGCAAGTAGTGAACTTCAACAGCAACCACCCAATCAGTCACTAACGTAGTTGTGTAAGGACGCTCTATCGGCGTGTCGAAACGCACTGCAGTGAGCCGGAAGACAAAATTGCCGAACTACAATACCCCGACGGGTCTTCAAAACCAATGGCTACCCGCGCAACTTTGTCAATCGGTGCATACGCAAAAGGGACGAAAGGCCTAACCGCACGAACACCAAAGTTTGGCGAGCGCTTCCATATGTCAAGAACGTTTCGGAAGCTGTTGCCCGCCTTCTCGCACCACACGGGGTTCGAGTTGCACACAGACCGGAGGCAACCATGAGGCGTCAGGTACTGAAAACGGAAGACCCGCTGCCACGGGAAGAAACGTCGGGAGTCGTTTATCGGATCCGGTGCAGTTGCGGACAAAGCAACTACGTCGGAGAAACCGGAAGACAGCTCTGAACGCGAATGGCCGAACACGCTGCAGCGGTGCGGAGAAATGACGCTAGCTATCAAGTTGCGGCTCAATCGACGGGTTCTGGCCACACATTAAAATTTGACGAGGCCGAAATTCTCGCAAAAGGTGACAACCGCGTGAGCCAGGAGCTGCTTAAGTCATGGTTCACTGGCCCCAAGTCTATTAACAAGTGCAATGAGCTTCCCATTCAATACAGCGTGCTGAGACTTCGTCTAGGCGGAGTAACTGTCCACGCGGGGAGCGCACAGGTGAACACCCTTCCCAACACCCGGGTCGGCGCGTCAGATGGTCGAGCAATCATCACACCAACATCCAACGCACGTGATGAAATTGCAGCAATTACCGACGCGAATGTCGGCCATCACGCCACGTGCAACGATCCCTGATGAAGGGGGGGGGGTAGCCGTGAATATTCATAGGTATGCGGTAGCATGGCTACTGCATCCTATTAATACTGCAGCCGCATATGCATGAGCCACCCCTACCTGCTTTTGTCTCTGATGATGGATTCGAGCAGGAATCAGAAACGCCAGACTAATAAAGCTCTTGTTACGGCGATCGTGTCTTCTTCTTTAATGCCCATCTAATCTTCTGTCCTGCCTTCTGATTTAGGAAGCGTGAAGTTTCCGACCATCCTACCTCGCCATATCTATTTCAGTCGGCTGAGGTAGAATTACTCCGAAAAATTAAAAAAGTTTTATGCATACTGTCCAGGCTATTCTTCCATTTTTTATTGCTTTTCTCAGTTAGTCTTCCATACTTCGCACTGGAAACAAGCGAATATTCCCTCTATCTATAAATTTTGAAGCAAAATTCATACTACAAGTAGCCAGTTGGTCAGCCTAACGCCAATTCATGTGTAAACCCATGGGAGGAATCGCTAGCAATGCTAACATGCGATTCCTCAGAGAGGAGGCTATCTCAGTTGTAAAAGATGACTATCGACAAAATCGCGCCTACCTTATTTTACTGTTCGTCTTAAAGCAACTAGACCCGTTAGGAAAAACATAATCTTCGCATTATTTCCGCACAGATTTGGTAAATTTGGCCTGAGCCGCATAGCACACGCACTTGGTATGTTTCACGACGAGACGATACGGATCCGTTTACAGGGCTCCCGAATGACCGAATTCAATGGCGGTTGCTGGCGGAAACCATCAGGGCTTGGTTCTCGGACATTTCCACTAAGTCGAAAATTGTGTAGCAGGCTTGAATTACCGTGGACACTGAAAACAGATCTACTGACAGTACGTGAGCCTAGAATAAATAGGGCAGGCGCTTCATAGAAAAATCACGCATATAGGTCGCGAGAGGTAGAGTGCGGAGTATTCAGGTTTAAAAGACGAGACCAACTGCCACACTTGTTAGTACGTCTACTAGACGGAAATCCTTTTGTTAATGTCACAGTCGCAAGAGCTCAGAGACTCCTAGTTGTCAGGTCTATAATTTTCATTCGCTGAATCAGGACGGTCTAATAGGAAAGCAGAGCGCCCCCTCTTAATAATAGGTTTCAACCAGACATGAATAAGTTAAATGGAGGTATATGGGGCGTCTACTCGTTCGGCCAGACCAATAAGACACTATACTAAGCGTTTGGGCAGCCTTGTCCCTAGGGTTCCGATCCCATGTCAGTACAGAATAATCGATAACACCGGCTGAAGTAGGCAAGAAGGGCAGGATTTATTGGTACCAAATAATTTCGCGACGGCTCTTCAGCTGCGTTTAATTTCTCTTTAATAGCCAATTCTATAGGCAAATTGACGGAGTGGCAATGGGGAGTCTCCTTGGCCCTACCTTTGCTGACATCTTTATGGGTCATCTAGAAGAAAAAGTGTCCGCCAAATTGAATATGCTGCCACTCTACAAAAGATACGTGGATGATGTTTTCGCTATTGTTAAGGAAATCACGGAGGCTGAAGAACTGCTTTCTATTATGAATAAGCTGCATCCAAAGATCAAATTTATAATGGAGAAGGAGCAAGACAACCAACTATCCTTTCTGGATGTTCTTATGTTTAGACAGGAAGGTGGTTCTATAAGACGTTCCGTCTTCCATAAGAATACTTGGAAGGGACATTACTTGCATTTTTTTGAGTTTTGTACCTATCCAATGGAAACGTAACTTGGTATACGCTCTTTTCCAAAGGGCTAGGAACATTTACACCAATGACACACTGGATGCAGAATTTGCACGTCTCAAAGAAGCTCTACTTAAGCGAGGATATCCCGCACGGTTCATCCACAAATACAGCAACTCTACACGGCCAAAATTGACAGAACATTTAGCTCCGATAAAGCTCGTCTTTATATCTTTGCCCTTTAAGGGCAACAATATTTTAAATACTGTCAAACGACGACTACGTTCCGCCAGTGAAAGGACATACAATGCAGCCGACCTAGTATTATACAGTCCTACTAAGCCACCTCCGATTCCACGGGCAAAGGATGCACTGCCAATGCATGCCACTTCAAATTGTGTTTATGAATTTACATGCACTTGCGGATGCAAGTACACTGGGCGAACGCAAAGGCAATTGGCAGCCAGGTTTATTGAGCACCTGCCCAGATGGCTCCTAAGACAAGAAAATGAGATACCGCGTTCCTCCATTACGAAACACCTGCTTGATACTGGTCACTCCGTCGACACCAAAACTTCCTTCCGAGTGCTTGTTCGGGCACGAACAACTCGGACATTGCGTTACATGGAGGCGGCCTACATACGACGAGTGAAACCAGATCTTTGTAAACAATTGGAACACGTGGTTAACCTAACATTGCCATGGTAGCCTCTAGCTCCATGATTTTCCCCTCTCATTTTTTGCTCTTTAACGTTCCTCTTTTTCACTTTCTTCCACTACGGTGTTTGAGTTACTAACTTTGTCGATTAGCCAGCTTTGCCCAAAACCATGAACTTGCTGTTTCTGTATTGATTTTCTGCACGAATTGAAATCTGTTGTATTGTTCTCACTCGTTATCTCTCTTATGAAGCGACAGGACGCAGCTGACGAGCCGTCGCGAAATTTTTTGGTACCAATAAATTCTGCCCTTCTTGCCTACTTCAGCTTCGTACCGGGGACAAAATGCCTCAGATTACACCGACAGCAAATTGACTTTTCCACCATCGCCCGCCATAATTATTCGTTGTCATCACGATGAACCTGTCCCGCTCATCCATATCCATTCGTGCAGCTGTTCTTCCCGAAAGTTTTGACGAAAAACTCTGGGTTAGCTAAGACCACCCCGCAATTTCTATGCGGGAGCCATTTTTTCATCTGCTTCGTACAGAGCCTGTCGCTTTACTTGCCAGAAACACGCTTATAAACCCTGTCCGCGACTCATTTTCACGTCCCATTTCCCTGAGATGGCCTGATGATGAATTGCCGAAAAAGATGTCCGCCTGTTCTAGCTTAAAAAACTATTGCTGCAATATTGACTAGAACACGGTCATTCGCTGAACGGAAAGTGTCATTTGTTGAGAGAGCAAGACCCTAAGGAGTCCTAAGTCATTCTTCTACAAATCCAGACGTCGTTTGTCTGGTCCCTTTTCCCGAGGTCACAAACAAACCCGAACTGTGTGGTCTTAACCGACAGAGAGGAGAGGGAACCGCGACGACCTATCCAAAGACTTTCTTGCACCCAGACTCACCTTTCGATGTGGAGGTTCCCTCAAGCTACGAGGAGCCCGCAATCACTCCGATCTGCGGTAGACTTCGCTCTTACAGAGACTACAGACTGGTGAGGACGAAATGCCAATTCAACCATTTCAGCAAATGGCGGCATTCCAGCGCTAGTTCTCGACCACGCCTCTAGACTTATTCTCCCCCTACGCATCCTCTTCCGATCGAACGGCGCCTAGAGCCATTAGGTAAGGTAGATAGGTCAAACGGGCATAGGCAACCCGTCTGTCAGAGAAACGATACGAGTGCGTAGACACAGGGAGCGCACATGTCCGCCTGACTTCCAGACTGTATAATTATAAAAAAGCCAACGGAGTAATACTACCTTACGCGACGGGCGACATTAGAACACAAGGCAGTAGAGTGGGATCGGAAAGTAGAAAATCTTCATAACCAATGTTTTAAAAAACGGGTCAAACAATCCACTCCATTTTTACATGCAGAAGTGAACGCATAAGAAGGTGCATAAATCTGGTGCTCAAGGTCAATAAATGCCAAAACCGAGTGGGAACTGAGGGGACAGAACAGGGATCCTTTCTCCTGACTGACAGTCTGGATTAATCTGAGGGCTGTTTCTTGGCGCGTTTCCGGGCTGGAGGCTTGGCGGCGTCAGTGGCACCAGCAGACGAGGAGGCTGCCTTCGAGGATGCAGAGGAA